ACCGAACGAAAAGCGTCGTCCTCTTTTTTACTACCCCCCCAAAAAATAACAAGGCGCCGTGGGGCCCTAACAAGGGAAACGAGCCAACTTTCACCGAGAAAAGTCGGAATCGTCAGTTTCTACAAACCGTTCTACACTACCGTGGCAAAGGTGCACGAAAAAAAGTGAAATTTCAAAGGCAATAAAAAAGTAAAAGTCGTTTTTTTGTCAGGGGACACGCAACGACATAAAACATCCTTCGACAAAAAGGGAAAAGATCCTTAGATCCTTATTAAGAAGTTGTGTTCTTTGCGTGACGAATCTTTCGGAAAACTTTCTCTATTCGTAGGACGCGAAAAAAAGAACAGGTTTGCTGCTTAAAACATTCGTCGCTACTATGCCTCTGCAGAAACTTCGTATCTCTTTTATTAAAGATATTTTTAATTCACGTAAAAATTGTTTTTTCGATACTGTTCGCCTTTCTACATAATTTTGTCAAAATATATAAACTGAAAAATAACAATTTTCCACAACAAAAGACTAAAAAAATAATAACAATCGTGGCAGCAAATTATCGTCCAGTATAATAACTATGCATTAAACATATATTTCCTATGAAAAACCAAAGTGTCAATTAAACTGAATTTTCACGACAATCGTAATCGTCGATAAACGCGATCGATGAAAAATCGTGCATCTTCCAGGGACCTTTGATAGCATCTCGTATCCCCAGATCATTAAAGATCTGTATTTTCTCCGGAGTAGCGTTCTCCCTCGATTTTCCCGGGTTTTGTTCGGCCAGCACGTTTGTGTCTCGCTCTGTACCGTGTAACAGGGAGAGCGAAACGGAGGATGCGACAATATCCGGCGCGCCGGCGTCCGACAACTGATAACGCCAAGGGATGTTTATGTATGTGTTCATAATATGTTTCGAGTTATGCTCAACCCCTTCGAAGCATCGAGGCTATCCGTGCTCGAAATTACAGACACGCGAAATTGCTCGAAAACGAACAATACGTCGGATAAATTTCGAAATTCGAGATTTTCATCTCGTTAATCGAACGAAGGAGAAAAGGCGACGGATATTGGGGGCGAAAAGAAGTGGCGATCGGAAACTAAAGGATGGACGAGAGGCGACGCGAGAAACGCTATAATTCCGGGCAAATTTTATCGATGCCGAATGAATAAACCTATAAAAAGGGAAGTACTTTCGCCGGCGACTCAATGGTTTTCGTATCTATATGTAAATAAAGTGGAGAGAGAAAGAGAGCAAAGAGAGAGGGAAGCAGAGAGAGAGAGAGAGAGAGAAGACGCGAGGGAGGAGCTGAGAGGGGAAAAGAAGAGGCGGCCATTTCTCTCCATGGAGCTGGTGTAATTTACGCGAGGACTGAAGATAGCGAAGGAACTTAATTCACGTGCCGCCGACGAAAAAATAGGATAGAACCACTACCACGAGACGGAACCACCTCGTTCGCTGCTCTTAATTCTCGTTACAACGGAAACGCTGCCCTTATCCGTGGCCAATTACCTAAGCTTATTAACTATTCCGGATAAACGAACTCTCTACTCTGTCTCATTCTCGCGCAATCTACGATCCGTACAGAATGGTTCTTCCTTCGACCGACCTTCTTTATACTACACGTATACATACGTGTCATTTAGAATATCGCGCGGTTGTCGCGAAACGACCAAATATCGTAACATCGGCACGTTCCGTATAAAAGGAAACGACCGTGTAGACATTTTTGGTTGTCGGCTGAGCCCGTGACATTCCGCTGGCAATTACATCTCGATAGGAAAGAATACGGTCGACACGGTGTGCGAATCGGGTCCGCGCGACTCGCGTCTCGTGGCCTGGCTATACCTCCGAGTCGAGTGAAATAATAGTTCAGCCTGGATGCCACACCCAGTATTGTGTTCACTCATACTCGTGCCTCTCCTTATGCGCTTGCTTTGGCATTTTACGTAGGTATACATGTCGATGATATACATGTTCCAGCTCGGACGTACTCGACACACGGACGCACGCGCGGTACAAGTGTACAAAAGGGGGCGCGTATATAAGCGTACAAAGACGACGAACACGTAGGCACACGGGCAGACCCGTGGCTGGGTCTCCAAGATAGCGAGATACGAATGTCGAGAGAAAGAGACTACGGGGAGAGAGCCAGGGAGGGACAGAAATAGACGGCAAGAGAGAAAGGGAGGTGAGCAAGGAGCAGCGGAAACAAGGGAGGAGGGGATAGCGGGGGTTGGTTTGGAAGAAAGGTGGGGTCGTGGATGAACGAAAGGGGGTTGTATGGGATGATGGCGGTGGCTTTCTGTTCGTTCACGTTCGCTTCCACGTCCCTGCAGACGTGCCAGCCGCTGATCTACGATTCCCTCGCGCATAGCAGACCGCATAACTCTCGTCTTATACCTCTCGTTGAGATCTGGACGACGATATTGCTTATCCGCGTGTTCGAACCGCGACCCGCTTCAAATCCCCGCTAAACAAAGAAGAAACGCGAGAGAAAGATTGCCTCGCGTCTTTAGGGTGGCGTTTCGAGGGGTGGACTTGGTAAATCCGCTCGTTCATTCCGCGCCGGATGAAATATCCTAACGTGAATTTCAAATGGGATAACATTCCGGTCAATTTATAGTTAATAAACATGAGAACGAGAGAGCAGAGATAGTTGGCTGAATGAATTTCACTCGAGAGGGTGCATAAAGTGTCGCGAACCCTTATCCCACGATAGGCGCGGTTGCCTCACGATCGTATGGAAAAACGTCGATAATCCGATGCGAAGGAGAGAGAAACCGTGGGATATAGGAGTTTTACAAAGGCAGCAATTTCCAGACGATCGCGATCATTAATAGGATGGCGACTCGTCTCGGTGAACTGGCCATAAAGAGCGGCAGAAAAACTCGAAAGGTATAAATTCTATTATGACCCTCCGGCGCAGTCTCAAGCATGGTATTACTAAACAACGTTGTCTCTGGACGGAAGCCTTTTAAAAGAATGGAACAAGGGAGACGAAGAAGGTGAGAGGTATTTTGTGGAAGAGATAGCGGAGAGCGAAGCGAGAGGAGAAGATAGCGGCGGAGGAGAAAGAGGAGGAAAAGGAAAGCGTCCGCCCCTTTCCTTGTGCTCGGTTCAGGGTTCCAGCTCGTGCAAGCGGTTAACGCAGCCATTTCACGCCTCGAGAAGCATCCAGTTTCCTCATCCAAATTCTAACCAAATTCACGGATATCTCTCCTCCGACAAGCTACGAGGATTTCTATTTAGCAGAAGTTGGAACATGGCGGAGACAATTGAGAGAAATCGAGGAAGTGCTTCTTCCCGGCCATTGCAAATTAATCCTTCCATCTATACAACCGTATACAGACCGCGTTATATGAAAACGCTTTACAGTAGGGAATGACAGTTTGTTTTACAAATTACAAAGCGCCGTTCATTCACCGAGAAAGAAAGGAAAAGCTACGAAATAAATGCACGCACACTACTGATAAACCAGTGAAAGGGAGGAACGGATAACTCGATAATCGAGATGCTGCATCACGCAGCCCATCGCCTCGAATAACCCTCCGTCAATGTGATCTTCCTACCAACCCTTTAGCCATTTAATCCTTCGTCAATCGGTGGAGTTCGATCGGACTACGGTTATCCCTTAAAACTGCAATTCTTTATGGAATTAAATGGTAATTAACGAGGACGACTTGGTTTCTCGTTCTTCCAACGGAGGGTGAGAATGAGAGGGGACGTCACAAACCGGAAAATCGCGCGCAACGAAATCCCGTGTTGGGGACGCGCAATCAAGGGAATATGCCCATTGAAACGGCGCGTACGTTGTCTGATACCGATACAACATCTATTCCACGGAGAATTTCCATATAGGATTCGGCTTATGTCGGTTGCTGGATGCGCGAAACCGTCCGATCTACGTGCCATCGAATTTTTACGGGCAGCCTCCGTTCTATCAGTTTACCTCGTAAAGCCTCGCGACCCTTTCTGCGTTTTTCCTGGCAGAATGGCTTAAAGTGAGTATCGATCAGAAAGTCTGAGGGAATTACGGTCCATGAGCGATTCTCCATTGCCTATACCAAGTGGTTATATGTGCCATACGTCGTGTGCCATAGGAAAGGGGCGGCAACCGCAGCAGCACGACTGTCCTTCCTCTCACCCTCCGTCGCCATACCCGTACTCGGCTACCCCAATTTCACCCCCGAGAGCCAATATTTATTGATCACCCTCGAAGGCATCGTTCTGTATTCTCTCTGCCTCGCTCTCCTTCTCTTACTCTCGCGCGGCTAGTCTTCCCTATTCTTCCCCCCGCCCCGATTTCCTTCCAACGCCACCTCCTGCACGTTCTCTCGTGGCGAACCTTTTCTTCGTTTTCTCTTTCTGCCTCGTTGTTCCCTCGTTTTCAAGAAAAAGAGAAACACGGGATCGGTCGCGCTGTCGAGACGCTCGCAGCTGTTCTTCGCGATGCTTCTTTTCCCGGCCGCCTCGCACAGGCAAAGAGTTCGTCAACGGGGGAAAGGGAAACGGAGTCGGAAAGCAGCAATAGCAGCCCGGGACTCTCGACGCGATGAAAATTCACCCCACGACTCTTTATATTCTTGGAAGCCTGCCTCCCGTGCCGCTCAAGAATGCCACAGCTCTACACCGAATTCGTGAAATTCGAGGGGGTAGCTCTCTCTCTCGTCTGCTGTGGTAGCAGCATCTGTGCGAGCACGCCTCGCCCCGAATAAATCTAATCTCTTGACACACGATCCGAATTCGGCACGAAACTTTCGAATGGCCGTTTAAAACGCTCACGGGACGAACGCGACGTCGACGAACCAGAAGCGTTTCATCGAGTCGAGTCTTCGGCGTCGTCCCATTCCAGACGGTGATTTCAATCGGTCGTAATCCTCGTGTCGCATTTCCTCGGTGTCCCCGATTGAAATCATCCTGCTGGAAATCGACGCCGAAACCTTGAACACGCGAAACGCCTTCTAACTTTAATCATGTTTGAAGAAAGCACAACTCAACTCACCTTGCAACCATGTCCAATGCGGCTTAGCAATATCTTCCTTACCTGTGACAGAGAGAAAAGTCTACGTGAGGATTCAACGTTCTCTGGTTGGCTGGCGTAGACGCGCGCGCGCGCTCGTGTATTCGCAACGGCGTGGAACGATCCGAATAAATCTTTTTCGACGATCGAATTGAACGCAACACCGGCTGGATCTGGAGTGGGTCGGGTACGGGACGAGCGAGAGGTAGAAATCGCCGGGATATCGCGTACATATAATAAGAGGCGTCACTTTTTGAATTATTCGCTGAAAACTGATCACCGCCTGCGCGAAACATCGTAAATCCTGGAAATGTTTAAGCAGCCCGGGCGCGTATAATGCGAGAGCAGCGCGCACGATCGATCGATCGGAACATTTTAAAACCGAGCCAATGAGAATAACTCGTGGCCCGTCATAAATGAAGCCATAAATCGTATTTAGCCATTCGCCAAGCCGAGGCGATATATCGCGGCATCGGACAACACAATTTTCTATCGGATAGTTCAATTTCTAGATCGAGGATTCATATTTAAAAATATCCGCGCCAATCGCACGGGATTAAACAATTAACGATCCCCAGTGCCCCTTCGCGCCACCGTTACCCCTTCCTTCATCTGTGTCACGTTTGTTCGACGAGCAACCCTCTCCTACCCTCTTCTCGCCCCTTCCTCTTGTTTTTCATTTCGCCGGCGATTTCGCTGGCGCGTGATGAAACGTCGATCGATCAGCTACTGAATGCATTTTGTACGCGGCCATCGAACGCCGGATTGTGTTCGTTAATATTCTATTAGACATGGACAAATGCGTGCCGTGTTTCAACGACACTCCGCGTTTAATCTCCTTCCCTCATTATACATTCAATCTCTCGTAAAGTGAAAATGACGCCCGGCAGGGATTCGCTCAAAGCGGTCCTTTCCATCCGTTTCGAATTCCGGCGAATCAAACACCTGCTGTGATTACCGACGAACAATGGCGCGGTTCTTTTTATAAATTTCCGATTCCAGAAATACGCTATAAAATAGAAACAGATTACGATTACAGCACGATACAATAGCGCCACTGATCGTGAAACCACCGCTTCCGCCGCCGTTATGCAAAATTAAAATGTAATGCAAAATGCAATCGGTCAACATTAGCAAACAGCAGCAGACACGGTGCATGATCATCGTAGCGGAAAGGATTAAGTTAATCGCGCGAAATGGGAAATTTCAATTGTCAAACGACTCGCTTCAGAACACGCGGCAATTATGCGCGCGCGCCTCGCCGCGCCGCTTCTAACTCACCGTAATAACAGAATAGTATAATCAATTTCGATCGCGACTCGAATTACGATGCCTCGGTTACATCAATCATTAACTCGTTTATCGTGTAACCGGGCTAGTTAGTCACGATCGTAAAGCAACCTATTGAAAGTATAATGCGGCCCAACGAAAAGGGGTAGGCAGGCGGCGGCGGCAGCGATGGCCGCGCATTAAACCAAACACAGCCGTTTTACACGCGTATCGGCTACAAACGTACTGGCCATGATAATCTAACATCTAAGAACAACTTCTTTCCTGCCCAGCCGGGCTCTGTCATCCATATTCTAGTTATTTGCGCACGTGCACGGCCGCCAGCTCTCGACTCGTGCGTCGGTGGTGCCTCTACTCACACGTGGGTGTACACACGCGCGTACCACGTACTTACGTGTGTTCGCACGAGCAAACGCGCCTACTTAAGTCAGATATTATCGGCAGAGGAGGCAATTCGATCGCGTGTACCGAAGCATGGTGCAGCGCTGATATAGAACTACTAAACAGGTCGTAGATCAGCTCGGTTAGTTATAACGCTGCCTCTGCTTTCGCCCCTACCAACACCCCCTTCGACGCTCAACCAATTCCCACCGGTGTTCTGGATCATTTGGCGGCCCGCGGCCGTCAGATGCGCGCATGCACCGCTACCACGCTCTCTGCGCGCTATCGCGATCCCGTAATTCGCCCTTCCATCGACTCTATGATTTTTAGAAACGATTTCGGGAAAAAAACCACATCAACGGACAACGCCACCCACCCCAGGGGAACTGCGCTATTTTTACGGCCGTGGGATACAACGCTGCGAGATTCGTCGATCGCTGGAAATAAAGCGCTCCGCGATAGCTGGTTCCCGCGTGTTCCATTCACGCCCCGTTCTCTCTCTCTCTTTTTCCGTGTCTTTCTCTGTTCCTCTGCAGCTTGGAATCGCGGTTTTCCGGTCAATCTCGCCCCGTCTTCGAGTATCGGCCTCCTTTTTCTCATCCCTTTCTCGCTGCGCGATTTCAACGGATCGCAGTGAGTGGTTCGATGGTCGCAGATCTTGAACGAAACGCGGAGTTGTAAATCAGCGAGGAAATCTCATATCCCCGGCGAAAGCCGCGATGGCGCCTCGTTCTTTCGTACGGCCGGCTACGGCCTCCGACCGACGAATTGATAATTCAAGAGGGAACGCGTTATTGGCTCCCGAAGTGAAAATCTGCAGACCGGTGACTTACGACACATTGCCGGTGACTGGTTATTAGATTATTGGTCGTATCGACAGCTCGTGCGTTGGCTGCCCGATATAGGGTGGAAGGCAGGAGTCAGAGAGGCAGCCCGACAGGGTGGAGAGAGAGAGAGAAAAGGGGGTAGATTCGGGGGATGGCGATGGCCGGTGATGGTGTCGCTGCTTGTGGGTCGCGTACGGACCACGTACAAATATAGAGGGGACCCCGGGGTGTGAGGGGTGACTGAGAGGCAGAGGAAGAGCAGGGGGGCCAGCGGCGGTGGGACAAAATGGGGAGACCGTGATAACGATAACGTACGATCGGCATTAGCTGGCGGCTTGCAGCGGCTGATGGATGCGCTAATTATCAGCAAGCAGGAGTTACAGTGTTTCGCGTAGCCGTCCGCGCGCGCGGACGATCACTATGCGTTTCCGATAGAGACCATCGTGAAAAAAGAGATTACGCGCGGCACGGTGAAAAAAAAAACACGAAAAATCCGGAATTGCCGAGCATTTCACGTGACGGTTTTGGCTGTGGAAAATTCGAACGAGCATCTGCCCATTTGGAACGGACTCTGTACCTGTACAGAGCGTCGATCTTTCGATCGGCCAAATCCGAGCCTACGTCCTGATCGCCTCGTGTTGCATAATTTGCAAATTCGCTATTGTTATCGCGATTGTGAAAATGGTGGTCTGAATGAAATTCAGGAAAAAGACAGAAATTGAAACAAGAGATAAAGAAATAGTTTGTCTTGGAAACGAAGCTATTTCTCTGTTTCTTTGATCCTTTTTTTCTTTTGGCGAGTTTAAAAGGAAGTCGACGATAGAAAATCTATTTCGTTGGCGATCCGAACGGACGATACAAAAGCGGTCCGACCAATTTTCTTCCCTCTTACGTTCAATTTCGAAGAGCGGAATCGTAGTTCTCGCATATCCGTGTAAACCTATACGTATCCGGAAACCGCAAGCTGCGGTCTAAGCCCTAGATGCATCTACGTAACATAATCTACGATAGCGGGCGGCGCGTATATAGCGCACGATCGGTCGAGATCCGGTGCCCCGTAATGAACATTGCGCTTGTTTATTTAATGGGAAATTCGGTGGCGCCATAAAGCTCGAAGAAGGGGGTGAAACCTATTAAATTTATGTTTTCGGTTTACCCGCTCTGACGGATCGCAATGCCCGCACGCGTCGACCTCTAGCCACCCCCTGTCGTGGTTCGACCACCCTCCACCCACTTG